GCTCGCCGTGTCTCGATCGGCAATCGCATGATCCAAAAGCCGCTGGTTTACTCTTTCCGCGACAATCGGGTTCACTTGACTTGCCGCCTGCGTTTCGGAAGCTTTAGCTTTCTTCAGTTCATTCTCAGCTTTCTCTATGCAAGCTTCCAAACTCCGAATGTGACCATCTTTCTGCTTTATCTCTCTTTGCGCGACACGAAGACACATGCCGATTTCGTAGGAGGTATATAGTCCCTTTACCGCTCCATGGACGCCCTCCCGAAAAACTTCGTAATCAGGCCGGCCGACCATCGATTGCTGGACTTTTGGCAGAAAAAGCTGTTGAGCAAACTCGACTGCCACATTTGGATCGTAGATAATCAAATCGGCTTCAATCATCGGTTTATTCCCAATGAAGACCGAAAAACTCAATGGGCGTGGTGGCTTACTAGTTTTGTTTCGCGAACGGGGGGAGTTCCCTCGCTGCTACATCTCCTTCTGGGTGACTTACTCCGACGACGTGGGGAGCGACGCCTCTCATGCTCCTCTGACGTCCTGTTTCCCATTCGCATAGATTTACCACCTTGATTCATCTTTGAGTCCAGTTCAGTTAGTGTCCTACCCTCCTTTCTACTGTTGAAGAATATTCTTCTTCACATTCAAATTTGTCCAGTCTAGTTCGACACAATGCTTTTTTTTTTCCCTCTCGCAATCTATTGAATTTGAACACAGCATAGAACCCACGCGCACCCAGCCCCTACCCCACTTATTAATTACCGGTGCAGCGTTCCTAAAGTGATCACCGCAATGCACTGCACCGACTAGTTACTGTGCCCCGCCCAATCCATGAACTACCAATATACGGTGGTTCTGTTCATTAATTAGCTGGGGCAAGGGCAGATTCATTAATCTATTTAGCCTAATCGCAATGCATTACACCAAAACGTTACTGTGCCCCACCCAATCCATGAACTACACATATTTGGCAGTTATGTTCATTGATCAGCTGGGGCAAGGGCAGATTTATTAATCTATTCAACCTCTATTTATAAATATTTGTACAGACTACAAGGCCCCATCTAATCGGCAGATTATAGTCACCCATTATGTTAACGTTGCAAACTGTATGCCTTACTCGGCTCTAGAACGACATCCAAATGGAGCATAGGCAAATATGTGATTATTCGGCATATAATGTTATAGCCGAATAACATTACACTGCCCCACTTGGCCAGACAAGCTTAACATTGAGTCGAATATTTAATTCGGCAGATTATGTTATGGCCAAAGGTTGCAAGGTTAAATTTAATTCGGTTATCCATCAATTTAAATTAGCAAATTCAGAATAGAGACAAAAAGGGAGACTTTTATTAATAAATTGAATACGAAAGACGAACAGTCACTTTACACATGAAAACTGCCCTACGAAAAACTTACAAACAAAATGAACAAAAACCTACAAACACTACATACAAAAGACGCCTAACATAAAGAAAATTTATGCCAATTCTATTTTATTCTTCAGGGTCCGATTCCAATGGCTCAACATCCAGCTGCTCGTATGGAATCGGTTGCCCCAATGTTACGTTGGCGGTCGCCAAGGCTTTAAGCCAACTGTGTTTAAAGCCCCGGTTTTCAAACTTGGGCACCTCCTCCATGTACTTTTTCATGGCAGCGTTCTCTTCGGCTTCGAACGCCTTGGAAATCTCAGAGTCGACGATTTCTTTCACCTTCTTCGATTCCTCCAAGTCAGCTTCTAGCTTTGCAATTGCCTCTTTGGCCAATTTGAGCACGTCATCGCTCATATTCGCTCTCTCATTAGCAGCCGCCCTGAGTAGGTCGCTGCTTTTGGCTTTTTCTTCTTCAGCGTTGGCCCTAACTTGCTCATCTTCTGCCTTCCTAGCCTCGGAGTCGGCTCTCACAGATGCCATTGCCAATTTGGCCAGAGCCTCCTTGGCTTTCCCCTTTTCGTTTTCAACTTCGCCTTTGAGTAAGCCAATTTGTTCAACGGCGTCATAGTGACGACGGCCAATTTCTACGATTATGTCCGCCACCTGAAACAAAAACATAGGAAAGTTAATTGGTATACAAAGGAATAAAGTATAAAATTTGCCAATTACTTACCAATATCGTCGACTGAGCAACTAACGTTATCGAAATCACGTTCGATTTTACACGGAACGCAGCCCTGTCCGTCGGCAAGGAGATTGATGAGGCCACACTTAGGGCCACAGCGGCGTCCTTCAGAGCCAACGCATTGGCAGAAACCGACGTGTTCTTGATTCTAGGTTGGATAATAAACGGCACCGTCAAGTCTTGGGACTCTGCTATGTAAGGCTGTTTATAGGTTAAATCTCCAGAAAAGTTGGCCTCAATCTCGGCGGGGAGTTTCTCCCCCCTTTGTTCGGTAACATGGTCGTCTAATTGATTAATGACCGAGTCGGCAGGACATTGTATAATGACCAAATCAACCACAACAGTCTCTTGTTCAATTTCCTCAACAGGAGCAGGCGGTGAGGGTTCAGATCTGGCGATTTTGGCCCTCCTTCGAGCTGCCATCTTTTCGGCATTCTTCCTTTTCGCCATCTGTGCGAGCGACTCACCAGCCATATTTTCGGGGTCTATGCTAAGTAAATCTCCTAGATCGGTGAAAATATCATCTTCTAGAGATGTGTCAATTCGACCTGAGGTGGATGGGAGGTTGAAGCCGATTTCTTCAAAAGCCAAAATAAGAGCTGCGTCAACTTCCTCTTCCAAATGACCCTCAGATCCGTCCAAGTTGGACTAACTTGGTTATTCGTCGACCTGATCGCCGACTTCACTGCCTGGGTCCGAATCTGAACCCTCAAGGCCAATGACCCTAAGGCTCTTGTAGTTTGGGAAATCAAAGCCGTAAGATGCTCTTCCGTTCTTGGAATCAAGATATGATTTGCAGCCGAAAAAGTTGAATACGTTGGATCGTATCGCAGCAGCACGTGGGCAGTCTGCCCTTGCTTCTGAAGATTTGGACAGCCAAAGAATTTGAGCATGGTTTTGATTTGCTCAAGCATGCCGTCGTCGGTCGAAGTTAGTGCTTTCTTCAGATCGTTGCCTACACAAATGAAACGATAAGTACATGGAATAGAAGCCGAATAAACGTATAAAAAATACGCAAAGAAATGGGACTATACGACCACCTGGTTCGCCTTTTTGTCTAGGCACAAGATCCTGGCGATCTTCGTCTTCGTTGAATTCCCAGTTGCCTCGAACAATGACCATGACGTCATCGACACGCTTACCAAAGCTGGCAAGCATAGTCACCAGATGGTGATCAATGTCCTTGGCCCTGAGAAAGTATTGTCCTTGCCGACCAAAAGACTTCGCCAAGGCATAATAATGCCGAATAACAAGGATGCCTAGATTATTCCTAAGACGACGATTTAATTCTATTATGCCCATTATGATTCGGTAAAAATTTACATTTGGCTGAGAAGGGATTAGACCCCAGTAACGAAAAACGGCCCTAAGAAACGGATGAAGAGGGAAACAAACTCCGCCCTCAGCGATTGACAGGAGAGGAAAGATGATCGTACTTGCATCAGCCCTCTCCATATCAACTACGCTATCTGCCACGAGTGACAGATGGACGTCATCTGGAATGGAGAAATAGCATCGAAAGGAAGAAATACGGTCTGCAGAAATGAGGTCTTTCAGGTGTTTTTCCATTTAAATTGGAATTGAAAACATGCTAACTAAAAAACGAACAAGAAAATGGGAGCTGAAAAAAGGACGAAATACAAGGAAGAAAGGAACTTACAGTTTACAGAGAGGAGGACAATAGGAAGCAGACAGAAGTCACAGAGGTCTTGGAAGAGAGATACTATGAACAAGCCAACAAGCCTTGCATATTCAAAAAATATTCGAAAAGACAGCGCGGTTGTGAATCGCATTAAATGAGCAACGTGTACGATGAGGTGGGAAGTTATAATCATTTCTAAAACCGTGTTCATTCTGACGCTTCGGTGTTGGAAGTAGTGCGAGCGCCATATTTTTGACTTTCCATACGCACCCAAACATTTTGGCTATTTGGTATTAGTCGGATGTTCGGGAGGCAATTATGGGGGCCGAATAAAATCAATTAGAAAGAGGCCAAGGACTTTGATCGACATCTGGCTAAAGTAATTCGGCCTTGACTAAGGACTTATAAAGCCGAATAAAGGAATCGGCCGTATAAAGAGCCGAACAGGAGCCAACACTCAATAGGAAGGCCGAATAAGTAACTACGTGCGAGATCAAGAGTGGGCCCGACCCTCAGGCCCAGAGGTAATATAAAACTGGAGAAATGTCAACTAAAGCAGGTATGTGAGAATAGATGACATAACTTGAAATAGAAGTAAACTAGAGAGGATATTGTGCCTGTTTGGCAGAACTTAAAAGTAGCTTATTTCAGCTTTCAACTTAATTTAAGTTATTTTGATGTGTTTGGTTTAGCTTATAGCTTATAGCTTATAGCTTTTTGGAAGTCAAAAATCAGCTTATTCTTTGAGTGGGGCAGGAGATGCTTAATTTATAAGTTAGAAATCAGCTTATGTTCATAGTTATAAGCTATAAGCTGTTTAGGCATAAGCTATAAGCACTTTCCCACAGCTCTACCAAACAGGGCCATTGACTTGTCCGTCATAGTGCTAATTCTAGCACCCCCGACCGGAATGTTCATCCCTTTTTCAAGTAGCAATCAGAGGATCAAAGACGTCTGACTGGATTCTGAAGTATTTCCAAACCACTTCTCTACAAGTTCAAAATTCAATCATTTTGACTCAAATTTAAAACTTCATAAATGAAATTGATATATTAAAAATTAAAGGACTAAGAATATTGTTGCATATGACCAAAGGACAAATACAAATATTTTATTTATTTATTTTTCTATTAATGACTAATGTGAAAAGGGTACAAAGGGGGGCAACCCTCCCCCTTCATTTTATTTATTTCTTAAAATAAATAAGAAAGTGTCATTAAAATTAAACAGTCTTGATGGGTACAATTTATGTTGACAAAGAGGGTAATAGGCCATGGAGGCAAAATATCACTATTTAATTGCTCTTATTAACATACGAAAACAAAATAAGCCTTTAAACCCTTTGCATATTACATTAGACCCAAAATCACTAGAACAACAACCTCCCAAGATGAGTAACCATTTTATTTGTTTTGTGAAGAGTAGTGACAATAGCTGCATGAGGATGGCAAGATTAACTTGAGCTGAGAGAATTTTAATTTTAATTTTCTTTATTAAGATGCCAATTTGACTTCGTTACGGTATTCTGCAAGTGCCCATAACGGATATATATTCCTGTAGGTTGCATAATGTAACATGCAGTTCTTCATGAAAACTCCAGTAATTTCTTGCATTTGTCACCAAAAAAAAAAAACAAGAGGGAAGAATGTAAATTTATGATCAAAAGTAAAATAATATTGATCGAAGAACTGAAATTAATTTTTGTTTGTCCTCTCTTTTGTGTATTAATCATATTTATGACAGATGGTAAAATTGGTTATGTTGTAGAGAATTGATGAATACGTCTTGGGAGAAATCTCCGTTTTTCATTTGGGAATTGATCAGCAACTTTGCAGCACGATGTAGAGGTCTTGGGTCTCTCTCGGCCTAGTTAGTTACAGAATTTAAAGAATATCACAAATTTTGTTTTGAATATTGTTTGTGTTAATTTGTTGAGTATGTATATGTAGATGAAGTTTTACTTGGCCGGAATGAAGTAGACCCATCATGGCCCATGAAGTATGCACCAAATTGGTTCGATTCTCTTCTAGTGGTACATATTTCTGTTGTGACACAAAGAATATAGAATTAGTTAATTGATTATACATGGAAATAAATGAATTAATAATTAAAAGAAAATTTTAATTAGCTAGCTAGCTAGTATGCATTGATTTTGGTTAAGGATTCATATTTTGGAAGGAAGTTAAAAAGTAAACCTTAAGGGGACTAGAAAGGTAACTCTCTTCCCAACCTCCACTGTCTCGTTGCGATGACAACAAAAATTCAACACCTTTACGGATGGCTGCACAATTGTTGTATGTCTTCCCCGTTGCTACCAGCCCTCCTAGCGCAAACCATGTCCCATACGTGAAGCAAACCCCCCAAATTCCCATACCTACCACATTCACATTCGCAATTGCATGAGAGAGAAATATAGTAGGTTCAAACAAAACTAAGACGTGTTCTAATAATGTGAGATCAATTCTTTTTCATCATATTCTGCTCTGTCAATAATATGCCCAATTAAATAAAATAAATTCATATAATTTTTTTTACTATTGTATCTCATGCTTGTGCAGGCCTTTCACCCAAATATTTCCCTTTACAGTAATTATACACACACACACACATAGAAAGTTGGGAACAACGTACCATGACCCATCTAACATTTGGATATCTTCAAGGAAACTGTTGGCTTTTTTGGCTTTCGAAGGTTAATAATGTAATTTTAAGCGTGCCAGTAAGAATCAATCAGTCATTACAGAATAGTAATTGCCAACCAATTATCAGACGATTATGTTTTAGTTTTCTCAGCCTCAATGAAGAGGACTTTTACCGGTAGCTTATTTTAGGAGAATTTAATAAATAACAACAAGTGAAGAATAATTTCAGAATTTCATTAAATAAAATGAAAAACTTACAATGATCTGACCTAGCCTCGTAGAGGTTTATAGTAACAAGCTATTTGAAACTACTCCTAGGAATGAAGTGCAATACAGGAATTGAAATGCAGAAATGTAAAGAACTGTAAAAACTGGAAGGAAAAAACAAAGTAAATAAACTGATTTTTTGATCTGAGTCTAGATCTTCATTCTGGAGCCTTCTCTGCTATTTATACTTTCCAATAATAACCGTCGAAGTGGGCTTTCAACCGTCGAAATGTCCTCCCATGATTGCTGAACATGCTCTCTCATAATCAATCCCACTATGCCACTCTTGCAGTTAGGCTTCCCTCCTGATTTTGAATTTAAACTTTGTGAGTAACCGTTAGGCCACATTATCTTGTATTTTTCTGTTGATCCAGTACTCTGTAGATCCATGATTACCAATACTAACTGCCACGTGTCTGATTTCAATTGAAGACTTGAATTAACTCTTCATGTTGCCCTCATCTTGCCACATGTTAAGTTGTGATTGACCTATACAAAATATGCAGCCAACAGAAACGAACTGCCTTTTTTTATGAAAACTTCAATCTCCTTTTTGCGGTGTCGTGGATATAATTTCATGAATAACACAAAAGCCTGGATTGATGCTACTGTGCATTCTACGTACTAGTGTTCAATTACAATATCAGTTAAAAAACTCTGTAGGATTAAGAAGCTTCCCAAAAGAAAAGAAAAAAGTTCAAGATTACAAATTAAAAGAAAAAAGGTGTTTGGGCTTGCACTGCAAAAAACGCATTAAGTAGTATTACCTCTAGCCAAACCCCTGCTTTTACTGGCTCCCAAGCTGCTAAACCTCTAGTTTTACTTTGTAAACATTGAGAAACAAAAAAAAAAAAACATCAAACATTCCATAGGGGCTTGATTAATCCACCGTCAGCTTTTCTACTACCACAAATCATCAAACTTTTCGGTACCAAATCCACCGCCAACTTCACCACTACCACAAATCATCAAAACCCTCCCAATTTCAAGAGACGATATTGATTGATCTTGAAGTATCATTACATGATACTTTAATAGAATTGTTATTCGTAGAGATCCTCTCAATTTTTGTAAAATTTAATGTATAAAGAGAAATAGAGAGAGAATAAATTGTATGTATTATGATTGATTTATTTTATGTACATGGTTGGTCTCCTTTATATAGGAGATGTGGGTGGAGAGTAGGTGTAGTGGAGTAGGTGGAGTAGGTGGAGTTGTGTAGTGGAGTAGGTGAAGTGGAGTAGTTTTAACAGCCCCCCGCAAACTCAAGGAGGAGAGACACAAATCAACTTGAGTTTGGAAAGAGGAATAAAATAAGAAAATAGACTAATACATAAAATAAAAGAGGATAGGAGACACTGTATGGTCGTGTCAGACCGTTGGTGAAGACACTGTATGGTTGTGTCAGACCGTTGTAGGAGCTAACCGGAATCAATGTCGGGATAGTTTATGGGGTCATGCCGGACCGTTGTACAAGCTAACCGGAATCAATGTCGGGACAGTTTATGGGGTCATGCCGGACCGTTGGAGAAGCTAACTAGAATCAATGTAGGGACAGTTTATGAGGTCATGTCGGACCGTTGTAGAAGACACTGTATGAGTGTGTATATAGGCTACCCAAAAGATATACATGCATATATATATCGAGCCCTCAAAAGTCGCGCCCTCAAAAGGCGCGCCCACTGCATCAAAAGTCGTGCCCGACAGAAATCATCGAGCTGCGAGCCATCAAAAGTCGCGCCAGACACGCGGCGATGCACGTGATCGACAGAGCGCGTGTCGTCCTCTTCGTCATTGTCTTTATATACCAAAGCGAAGCCTGAGGCTTGGAAGCATAACAAACCAGTTGAAACCTCTTCGTTCTTTGAGAGCTTTGCGCTAAGAGCTGCAAACCCTGAAACACTCTGTAACCCATAACATGGCCTCTTCTTCTCGTGGTCTGCTCACTCTCTTTCCAGACCTCAACGAGTCCACAAGAGAGAAAACCGGTGTGGTTGCCCTTGAACCTCAACCAAGCGCCCCTGGTTTTGCTCCGTTGACCTTTCCTATGCGGTCTGTGGAGCAAATAATGGCAGTGCAATCAGATATTGAGGCCAATCAGTATACATTGAAGTCATGTGTGGAAACCATGACGGCAGTCACAAACTTGTCGCACCGGCTTCAGAGTATGACAAATGAGGTGCAGCAGTTAAACGTCCAACTGGCTCTGCTCCAGCGCATGTATAAGGATGCGCGAGCAGAGATATGTGTGCTAAAGGCGGAAAACAAGGAGCTGAAGCGGAAAGCCACCATTATGTTCCGATTCGGAGATCCGCCATATGCTGCGGTGGAGGAGCAAGGGGGAGTGAACGGGCTCGGCGGCGCGGGAAACACGGAGGCAACACCGTCAAGGGCCGTCCAAGAGGGAGGCAAGAAGAAAAGACCGGCGGAAGAGGCGAAGAAGTGAGGTCGGTGGGTGGCCGTCTGCAGAAAAGAAAACAAATCTTTTGGTGTTGTGGTTTGTGTTGTTGTGGTTGTTTTTTTTTTTTTTTGTTTTGTTTTTTTTTTGTAACTCTCTGGTGAGAACGCGATGGAAGTAGATTCCTGAGATGAATAAAACAAGGTTTGGTGTGCAAATCTATATGGTATGAATGGAATTTGAAAAAGATTAAAAATAATGTGAAAAAAAAAAAAAGAAAGAAATAATAAGAATATATTCTCTCATGGATTTTTGGAAATAATAATAATAATAATAATATATAAAATAAAGTGTTGGAATCCACTCGAATCAACGAAGGCTAGTATAATATATTGTAGTGGGGAAAAGAATGATGGGTATGTTGATTATAAAATAAAATAAAAGTGGGTAGTGGGGAAGATGAGTGTAAAGAAAAGTTTAGTGGAAATAGTGTGTTTGGTATTTGTTTGTGGCCACGTCTTTGGCAGATCAAACACTTTGGGAAAAGTTTAAAGAAAAGTTTAAAATATGATGGGAGAATGGGGACAAGCCCATGTGAGTGAACGATGGGTTTAAAGAAAGTGAGGGATGTGGGCGGTGGATGTTTTGGTATGTGTGGATCTACTGTGTGGCTCTCGGCAGAGAGCATGTCTAGAGAGAGAAAATGTGACCAAACAAGTTGGTAGGGAGGGAGATGGGAACATCAGTTCAGGTGAAGCCACTGTGTGGAGTATACAGAGAGAACCCACTGTGTGGCGTCGCGGTTGGTATCACGCCAACATCGGCTGTGGCCGCCGACGGTGTGCTGTCTCGCTGTGATCATCAACTCATTATTATTCTTCGCTTTACGAGCCAAATACAGATCTCTGGATCTGAAGAAATCGATGTTATGGTTGTTAGTGTTTGAGGCGTCGTCAAATTCGTCAGCCGGAGATGCGCCGGAAAACTCCGGAATTGGCCGTAGGGCTCTGCCTCGGAGCACTGTCTCCACTGCCGCCTGGCACACGTGCCAGTTCCCCGTCCATAACAGTCCGACGGCTCCGTTCACCGGATTCACAGTCCGTCCACACGCTTCAAACAATAGAGACTGAAACAGAGCAGGTCGTTGGGAGTCGGGGATGGAGGAGAGGAAGGACATGAGGCCGGCGCGGCCGAAGAACTTGGCGACGAAGACGGTGGCGTTAGCCTGAGCTTGAGAGGTTTCAATACCTTGAATTGATTGCCTCAGTATGCAATTGTCATTGCAACCCTTCCGAAGAACTCGACAACCGTTGCAACTCATCTCACGGCACATGAAACGTCAGATTCTGGTAATAATTCTGACTCCAAATCGAAGAAATTAATGAAAATGGAAGAAGAAGAAGAAGAGAGGCTTGAAGGGTGAGGAGGTGGCTGAGAATATGAAGCAAAGCCGTGGTCAGTGAGAAGGGAAATAGAGCTGTCTGCAGAGAGAGAAATTAGAAAATTTGGGTTTGTCCGGCGGACGGCCAAGGCGAGGCTGCCGCCCGCCGGTGAAGCGGAATTACTAAGTTCTTAACCTCGCTCTGATACCATGTAAAATTTAATGTATAAAGAGAAATAGAGAGAGAATAAATTGTATGTATTATGATTGATTTATTTTATGTACATAGTTGGTCTCCTTTATATAGGAGATGTGGGTGGAGAGTAGGTGTAGTGGAGTAGGTGGAGTTGTGTAGTGGAGTAGGTGAAGTGGAGTAGTTTTAACAATTTTAAGAGAAGTTATTAGTTAATTTTGGAGTATTGTTATGTAGTGTCTTAATAAAATTGTAATTAGTAGAGGAGGTAAAACTCACAAATTTATATTTGAAGATTGAGAAATATAAAGAAACGTGACAAATTGTGATTTGTAAAGAGTAAGATCACGTAACGCCCGTAAAGCAACCAGTAAGTCTTCCAATTTCATTATCAGGTGGCTCTCACGCAGCCACTACCCCGTAACCCAATTCCGTTTGGATGATAAGATAAGAGAAAAAATATATATTATGATATAAATAGAAAAATAATAATAATAATTTTGTTTTTTCGTTGTATTTATATAGTAAAAAGCAAAACATGTGAGAAAATGACATGAGTGAGAATTTCTTTTCTTCTTTTTGTGTTTTAAAGAACAATTTTAATATTATAAATATTTTATAACCATCAACTTGCTTCTCACCAAATAAGCTTATATCTCACTATTTTTCACTCAAATTACAAACCTTAGCCTTCTTAACATTTTTCATCAAATCACTCATGAATGATGAAAAATAAATAAAAATAATAAAAAAATAAAGAGAGAAGGAAGGAGAGAGGCGCACGCACTTGTTCATGTTGCCATGGGGATATCTGGAGTGTTTGAAAATATTATAATTATGAAATTGATTTAATTTTTTGGGCGTGTTTGATTCGCCGGATTAGGGGGGACAATTCGCTATTTGGATTGTAATCCATGGATGGCTTCTTATTCGCCATTTATTTTTTTTTTTAGTCTATCGGACATGGAGTCCCGCTGGACTCTTTATTGTATCCTAGGGGGGTATGGGACAATTTTTTGAGGACTATCCACTGTTGGGATTAGGTGGTAAAATAACCATTTTGACCCTCTACTATTTAATTATATATTATATTTAATAAAAATCGATAAAATTTAAATGTCTTAATTTAAAAATAAAATTATTTTATTTAACTTTTTATTGATGTTTTATTTATTTAATTTTTTTAAAATAATTTTTTATAGATATTTTATTTATGTTTTATTTTAAAATTTTGTTTATATTTTATTTAATTTCATTATTTAAATTTAATAGATGTTTTATTTAATTTCATTGTTTAATTATTATTATTTTTAAAAACAAATTTATTTAAAATTTTAATTAAAAAAATAACATATATTTTTATTGATATTTTATTTATTTTATTTTTAAAAAACAAATTTTTTTAATTTTGTAAAAAATAAAATAAAATAAATTTTATTTAATCTAACTAAAAATAATTAAAATATTAAAGATATGTTTAATATTGCTATTACTTAGTAAACAATTGAAAAATTGTAAAATAGTTTTTTTGTTCATTTATCCTATCCAGTTCGTCCAACCAAACGTTGGATTCACTAAAAATAGTCATTTCCAAACATCTAATCCCATGAAAAAACAAACACATGATACATATCAAATCCAACCAAATAGTCTGGGAGATTCACAGTCCCAGTACTCAAATCCGATAGATTCTAATCCTTCTTTATCCAGTCTGTTCAATCAAACACATCCAAATATTCACAAAATGTTATAGAAAATGAATAATTTGAATTACTCAAATAAAATCCATAGTAAATCCTATTATTCTACAAAGTCCAACATAATGGTTAAGTTTATATTTAAATTTGAGAGGAGCCTAACTTTATTTTAGGGAAATTATTTAATAATTTCGAAATACCACGTAGTCATATGTCAAGTCAATCATCAAATACTTAGTCTCCATGTTGTTCTCTCATCCCCAACATAAATCGTGGACCCATATCCTTCTCTACTAATCAAAATCTTATGAAATATCACGTGTCTATATTTCAGGAATACTGAATAATCACTCATTTATACTAAATAAAACCAATAAATTTTTTAAAAAGAAATTATACAAAACATACATATATATATATATATATAAAGTTTGGATTCTTTTTTTTTTTTTTTTTTTGGATACAACGGAAAGGATTAAAGTTTGGGTTCAGCAACAAATCAAACTTTAATTTTTTAATTTAAATCTTGAACTGTTAAAACAGTACCAATTCTAACCATCTATTTATCCGTTAGTTATAACTTATAACTAACAATAATATGCAATTTAGGCAATTGAAATTTTTTTCCCTTCATTTTTTTTCCCTTCATTGTTGTTAACAGATTTTCATTTATCACCCTCATCATCGTTCATCAGCTTCCCTTTTCTTCCCCAATTTATTGTTATCCCTTTTTATCATTCACCACTACATCTCTCCTTCCCCTCATTATTGTCCTTCATCGCTATCTTTTCTCTTTTCCAATCTATTATCATCCCTTTTTACTGTGTAAATGTTTGAGAAGTTATTATTTTAATATGTTATTTTAATTTTTGATTATTTTAATATGTTAAAATTTTTATATTTAAAAAAATAATTGAAATTTTTTGTAATTGAATATGATATTTATGAGAGAGAAAATAAAATGATTATAGATTTAATATGACATTTTATTTTATTAGCCATTTAAACTTATTTTGTCTTTGTATAAATTTTAACTAAAATCCAACATGCTAAACACTCCCACCGCACTCCTCTACTTCTCAAACTCACTACCACCTCTATCCTACCTTCCTTGATCCATGGCAATTATCTTCGTCCAGCATGATTAAAAAAAAAAAATTTATCTTTATTTTCATAGTTATAACTAACGGATAGTTATAATAAATTTTATTTTAAAATTGAGAGTTTAAATTGAAATAATTAAAAATTTGTTATAAGAGGTTAAATTCTAAAAAAAAAAAATTATAAGTTTTCTTAAAATAAATAATAATCCAAAATAATGACAAAAATTGATGTCACATAACCAATTTGTATACTATCAAGCTTATTTAATTTTAATCGAAATCCTTGATACTCCTAAAAAAGTAATGACATAATAAATTATAGATTACTTTGTGGCTAAGATTATGTGCTTTGACAATTCTTTTCACAAGCTATGCTACCAAAATCATATCCAAATAATAAATGATAGTATATATCAAACAAATAAATGAATGAATAATGATTTAGGGTTGGTTGGAGAAAGAATTTTTTTGGTTTGATATTTTTAATTTTTTGGTTAATTTAGTCTACCTAAATTAGTTTTGTTTGGAAATAATTTTTTAATTTTTTTACTTTTTGTGAGAGAAAAAATAAAATGATTATAATTTGAATGTGACATTTTGTCTTATTAACTTATTTAGTCTATTTTATCTTTTTGTACTTTTTTAGTCTCAACCTAAATCCAACGAATTCGGAGATCCTGCAGGGATTTGTGGTGTTTCGATAGGAGATTTTTCTAAATCTTTTTTGATAATCCGACCCGTTTATATTGTAAGGTGTTATCCAAAAAACAACCTAAGAGGGGGGGTGAATTAGATTTCTACAAATTAAAATTAATAATACCCTAATAAAATTAACTACTAGTATAACAAATTATTAACAAGCACAATGATGAACTTAGCAGTAAATGATCAAGCAAAATAATAATGAAGTATAACTAACATACAGGATAAATCAAATGATTAACACATGAATATTAGATAGCTATAGCAGTAGTAGGAAAGTAAAGAGATAAGAGAAGATGAGACAAATAGATTTATAGTGGTTCGGCTTCAACCAAGCCTACATCCACTCCTCAAGTTTCACTTGAGATTTTTCACTATCTTCTAACTTCACTGGGGGTGCTAGCAACCTCTTTACAAATGGAGCAATCCTCCACGGATTTTACACAAACTTCACAAGCCAAAACCTTTGCAAATCTTAGGTGATTCACAATCACTCTCAAGATTTCAAAAATACAGTGTTTGAAACACTTTTACAAGATGAAATGGTATTTTTGCTTTCAAAGAAAGCTTACAATAAATATCTCTCAAAAATAGATATATAAAATGAAGTTTTAATTTTTCTGTAAATCTCACACAGGAAAGATGGGCTTAAAGCTATAAGGCTCAGTGTATAATTTCTTAGAATAGATGTGAGTGATTATAAATCAAAGAATATTTTCAGGTTTTTGTTGTAACTTGTTTACATTAGAGGCTTTGGTATATATAATGAAAATTATATTCGTTTATAGCCGTTATAGTCATTTGAATTTATAGCCGTCTATAGCCGTTGTACTTCCATCATTACCAATTTGAATATCTTCCACTTGAACCGTTTGAACCTTTTAGCCTTTTGAACATTTATAGCCGTTTATAGCCGTTGTACTTCCATCATTACTGAGAGGGTAAAATGTGTAAATTTGGGCTGAGCTAGGAATGGAAAGAAGCGAGCCGAGCTGTGGGTTGAGTAGAGTAGACTTCCCCATTGGGCCTAGCTAGCTCGGTCATAAGTCTGAGGTGCAGGGAGTTGAATTACTAGAACAAAGTGGAAACCAAGCTAGGTGAAGCTCGGTTAAAACTGGCACTTAAGCATGGCAGTATTAGCTCGGTTGTCTTGTCATGCTACCGAGGTCAAACGCGATGCGGTTCAGAGCAGGTTATCTCGGTTAGGCATCAGCAGCCGAACAGAGTGCGGCCATCTCACTTGGG